AAGCCCTCCGCGGCGCAGGTCCCCGACCCCGACAAGAAGCCCGCCGAGCGCACCGAGAGGCCGGAGCGGCCCGAGCGCGCCGACAAGCTGCACGCGCAGGAGACGCGCTACCTCCTGGACACCAGGGTGTCCTTCCCGTACGAGCTGCTGCCGCCGCCCATGGCTCTGCAGCAGCGCCCCGTGCAGTACAAGAACCCCACCGAGCAGGAGCAGCTGCCCTCGCGCAAGTCGCAGCTGCAAACGGCGGCGGACGAGCCGCGCCAACAGGTTCTGTACTTCGGACAGCCGCACCTGAGCCACGGCCACCAGGCCCACCAGGGCCACCAGGGCCAGCAGCAGGCCTCGGCCGCCTACAAGTTCATCCCCTCGGCGACCAGCTTCTTCGACCGGCCGCAGCTGTTCTCGCAGATGGGGCTCGGGTCCGGCATCAACCCGTTCCTGCAGGGCGGCGTCGGCGCCTCCATCCAGAGCCCGTTCTCGTCGGCGCCCATCTACGGCCAGCCGGCGCCCGAGCTCTACCGCAAGGACTCCGTCACCCAGTCGCCCTTCTTTTTCCGGGCCGGGGCGCCGGGCGGCCACGCCGGCGTGTCCGTGCCAGTGCCGCAGCAGACGCCGCGACCGCCGCCGCCCGCGCAGCACATCCCGGACTTCCGCTTCGTGCCGCCCATCACGTCGTCCGCGCTGGACCACTCGTTCGCCGCGCTCACGCACTCCTTCATCCCGCCCGCCGACCGCGCCAAGCAGCAGCAGCAAACGCAGCAGCACAGCAGCAACAGCAGCACAGCTTCGGCCCCAACCTGCTGTCCACCACCAAGCTGCCTTTCCAGGGCGGCTTCCAGAACACGTTCCCGACGCCGCCGCCGCAGCACGACGCCTTCAACCGCTTCCAGGACAACAAGAACGCCGGCTTCCAGCACCACTTCACCTTCCAGCAGCAGCAGCCGCAGCAACAGCAGCAGTCCAAGCCCGGCTACCACCTCAAGGACGCGCTGCCCACCAAGGAGAGCTACTCCACGAAGCGCCCGCTGCTGCAGCAGGTGCAGCAGCAACAGGTCCAGCAGGCCACCAACAAGCTGCCCCTCATCCCCAGCCCCAAGTTCCCCGAGGACTACAGCGACGCGTTCTCGCAGTCCAGCCCAGCCAAGGCGACGCCGGGCAAGACGACGCTCGTCAACTTCGGCCTGCTCGCTGACAACGCCCAGCAAGGCCAGCAAGGCCGGCCCAACAAGTTCAAGCTGACGGACGGCAACCCCGTCGAGTCCGAGACCAAGAACGACCGCCAGCCCGCGCCGCACTCGTACGCGCAGATCAACACGCCTCACGGCCTGGGCGGGCTGGGCCTGGCGACGCGGCCCAGCAGCGCGCCCTTCGAGGACGAGCCGGCCTTCCCGCCCAGGCTGTCCTTCGGCAAGGAGGACGCCAAGTTCGGCCAGCCCATCCAGCAGCGGCCGCCCGAGAAGCAGCGCATCACCAGGCCCTTCTTCCAGGACGACATCGCCGTCGCGCCGTCGCCCACCGCGGAGACCTTGCCGTCGGCCGCCCCCAAGCCGCACGTCCACCTCGCGCACGGCCTCCACCACGCCAACCTCGCCAGTCTCGGCGGCCTGGGCGGCATCGGCCTCAACACCAGCCCGAACTACGGGCCGCAGACCTTCCCCACGCCGCCCACCTTCGGCTTCGAGCTGCGGCCGCAGAGCCCCGGGTCGTACCTGTTCGCCGCGACGCCCACGCCCACCCCCGAGCCCCTGGAGCCGAGCTTCCCGACGACGCCGCCGCCGCGCGAGGAGACGACGCTGCCGCCCACGCACATCAACGAGGTGCACTCGCCGCCCCTGCGGCCCACGTCCGCCACGTCGGCCACGCGCCACCGCTTCCAGCCCAGCGTGAGCGTGGTGCGCGACGACGACGAGGAGACGCCCGCGCCCTTCACGGAGGACAAGCCGGCCAAGCGCCTGCCGGGCAAGGGCCGGCGCCGCAAGCCCTACACGTCGTCGACGTCCACCACCACGACCACCGAGGAGGCCGTGCAGGCCGTGCAGAGCGTGACGGACGCGCCAGGGCTCGAGATCCACGAGCTGCAGTTCCAGACCGAGGCCCAGCCCTCCGAGGCGCCAGCGCCGCTCACCACCACGCCGCGGCCCCTCAGGAGGAAGAAGCCCTCGAGGACGGCGCCCGGCGACCGCCTGCGCAACCGCCTTGTGCCGCCAGAGCTCATCAAGACCACCACGCCCGAGCCCGACACCACCACCCTGTACCCCGCGGAGACCACCACGCTGCCCGACCTCAACGAGTTCCGCCTGCCCGAGTACTCGCAGCACTCGCAGCACTCCCAGCACGCCCAGCTGCCCGCCCCGCAGACGGACGACGAGGCCGCCAAGCTGGAGCAGGAGCTGAGCCAGCTGTTCGGACAGCTGCCTTCCGTCAGCCCGACCCTGCAGGACTTCTCCAGCCTGGAGGACTTCAAGATGGAGGAGCCCGTCAAGCCGGACGACTTCGCCAAGCCCAACTACCCCAACGAGTACACCAAGCCGTCTGAGCAGTACACCAAATTCGCCGACGACGATTACAAGTTGGACAACTACCCCAAGGCCGAGTACCCCAAACCATCCGAGTTCCCCAAGTACGACGACGAGTACAAGACCGACAACTACCCCAAGACCGAGTACCCGAGGCTGGAGCTGAAGCCGAGCTACGCTGAGGAGAACCCCAACTCGGGGTCGTCGCCCTTCTCGTTCGACGCCAAGCCCGCCAACCCGTTCCTGAGCCTCGGCCTGCCCGACCCCGCGTCGCCCACACTGCCCTCGCAGCTGCAGCCCCTGAGCAGCGCCGCGCCCACGCTGGCCGACCTGGCCGAGCAGGCGGCGCCCTCCGCCGCGTCCGAGGTGCAGCAGCAGGAGGAGCCGCAGACCACGCCGGCGCCGGCCGTCGAGACCACCACACCCACGCTGTCCAACCGACTGCGGCCGCGCATCCGCTTCAACTCGACCAGGCCGCGCTTCAGCGTCAAGGACTACCGCGGCAAGCCCGGCAAGGACGGCGAGATCCCCGAGACCACCACCTCCACGACGGCGGCGCCCGTCAGCCACCGAGGCCGCATCCCGTCCCGGACGCGAGGCTCGCACCGCCACACCACGGAGAGGGACTCGGAGGCCTCCACAACCGAGTCGAGCCGGCTGCGCTACAGGACCAAGGACCCGCTGCGCTTCAACGGCAACCGCTACCGCAGCACCACCTCCACGACGACCAGCACGACCACCGAGGCGCCGCCGGCCGACGCCGCGGACGCAGGGTCCGAGGTGGCGCCGGAGAAGGCCAACGAGAAGTCACCCGTCATCAGCCGCTTCCGCCCCGGCACCGGCAAGTACTACAGCCGCTACCGGACGTCCACGTCGACGGAGGCCCCGGCCGCGGACAGCGCGCGCCTCGAGAAGCCCGCCATCCGCGTGCCGACCAGGCCCAAGGGCGCCTTCTCGGTGCGCAGGCCGCAGACCACGGCGGCGAGCAAGGCGGAGGACGCGCAGGAGGACGACGAGACCGAGAACTACCCCAGCGGCATCCTGAGCGCGGACGCGTCGCACGCCGCCTCCAAGTCCCACATCCAGCGGTTCGCCGGGTTCGGCGTGCCGCCGTCCGCCGCCTCCACGTCGGCCACGTCGGCCACGGGCACGGACCGCAGCGACACGGAGCGCGTCGTGGAGAACGAGGTGCTGCCCGCGCGCGGCCAGCCCGCCCCCAGTGCGCCCACCCCCGGCCCCGCCCCCACGCCCGAGCAGCCCTCCAGCACGGCCTGGACCGCCGGCGACCTCTCCGACGTCCAGATCGACGCGTCGTCGGCGTCCTCAGAAGACATGATGCTGTCGCCGTCACAGCGGGTGGCCGAGCTCACCTCGTCGCCGGGCAACCACTACAACAACCCGGGCACCTTCAAGTCGGTCATGCCGGCCAGCAGGAGGACGCCCCTCAAGGTCAGCCTGTCGACGGACGACCCCATCCTGCCCATCGAGGCCTTCTTCAACTCGTGGAGCAAGGACCAGAAGAGCTCGTGAGCGCCGCGCGGAGCCTGCACTGTCGGACACGCGTCGCGGTGGTGATCGAAAGTCGAAATCGAAGTCGAAATCGAGGTCTATATCGGAGTCGAAATCGAAGTCGAAACGTGACGCCGTCTTGACAGTGTACCGGGAACGCCCTCACGGTCGTGTTTGAAGGGGCGCCCTGAGCATTGGGCCATCCGGGCCATCCCCCAACCAGCCGACGCTCATGGCGCCTATCAACCGGACTATTTTCCGCGACTGTGCTAATAGTCAGGCCGTGAGCCGAGTTCCCCTGATGCGTCCGTCGGAGATGCTGTCAGTCGATTAAAAAAATGAAAAGAATTACTATAGAGTCGCCATCCTGATTTCGCGTGCCTGCGTGATTGGCGCTCGAAACTTGAAGCTCATGCTGTAGTTGTAGTGATGCCAAAGCAAATATTCAACTTTGTGAAGAATAATGTAATTTACTATTTTAATTCGTTTCGCAAAACTTTTTTCTTGTAACGGCAGCAAAACTTAGGTAACCAAAGCTGTTCCCTCCAGCTATTCAGTACACGAACCGTCTTTCTGTCCAACAAATGGCGAGAAATGTGAAACGCGTGGTGCCTCGCGCCACCATCTGCATTAATGTGATGTAACACCCTTCTTAAGTCTGAAACTGTCAGTATGTACTCCTATCAATTTTCAAAGTGGAAACATTTTGACGTCTGTAGCTCTGCATATTAGTTATACTTGTATTTATTTTTCTACATAATATGAAAGTGTGTCATGTGAGAGTGTCAATTTGTGCGTGTCTGAACGTCTGCGCGTTTGTGTGCGTGAGTGTGTGCGTCCGTGTGTGCGTCTGTGTGTGCGTGAGCCGGCGAGAGTGCGTTGCGTGTGTGCGTGTGTTTTTGCATGACTGAGCGTCGAAAGGGAGAGTTTTATTTATTTTCTAACTTTTACAAATGATTAATTATCAATTTCAATTCACAAGATGTGAAAGGGAGAAGAAAAATCACAAGTGTGCTGTGGACATTCTTGTTTGTTTTTTAGAAAACTTAAATGAACAATGTGTAAATGTGTAACCTGTAAATAAACAGCGTAGAACACTACTTAGAAACCAGTGGCTGGCTGTTTCTCCCCCTCCCCCTCTTGAGCGCGATCCAGGCGAGGGAGCCGCGAAGCCGCGAAGCCGCCAAGCCGCCAAGCCGCGGAGCCGCGAGGCCGCGAAGCCGGCCGAATCGGCGAGCCTGCCGACGAGCCGGGCAGGGCAGCCCTGGGGCAGCCGGGCATCAGCCGGCATCAGCCGTGCGTCTCGGCCTACTTGTCGGAGGAGGTGCGCATGACGGCAAAGACGCTGTAGGCCTTGTTCAGCAGCTGAAATCAGCCAATCAGCGGCACGCGGTGCACGCGGCGCGCGTTTGAGAAAGTCTGCAAGTCTGCGAGGCAGCCACGCTGCGTTCGTTAGACGCGGGCAATGCCGGCCAGTTCGAGTCATCTTTTTGGACACGTTCGGCGCTCTGACGGCGTTCGACGGCGGCGTCGCGGATCACCGTTTCCCCGGCAACCATTTTCCGGACGTGCTTCGGGAATGCCGCCGCCTTGGTTGCAGGCAGCAGGCAGCTCAGCTTTCGTCCCGTAAAACGGCGACGTGACAAGACGGCCAGGATTACCCTGCGGACCGATTCCGAGAGTTGTCTTCGTCGCTCTGTCTCTCTCGCACTCACGAGGCGTTCCGTTTGGGTGCGAGAGAGACAGAGCGACGAAACCGACTCTCGGAGTCAGTCTGCTGCAGGTGAATGAGATCGACCCACGTCCGACAGCCCGACGACCTGCAGCGGCCCGCTGGCTGCTCTGACGTCGCACTGACGTGCACGGCGAGCCGGGACGGCACGGCACGGCCACTTTCAGTGGAGCATCAGCACCAATTGCAGGCCATTCACACGTCGGCTGTCCTTTAGCGCAGCGTGGCAGCTTGGTTTCCAGAGGGGAAAGGGCCGGGCTCGAATCCCCGCGCGCGCGCATTTTTCGCGACCGCGTGCTTGATGGCAACACCGCTAGTGAGGGTTGGAAAGCTGAGGGCTCGGGTTCGACTCCCGGCACTCACTTGGCTTTTCGGACCTACCTGCAGCCAGGTGGGCAGGCCGACGCGGAAGGCCCGCCAGCACCACAGCGACGGCGGCTTGGTGGCGCGCATCAACATGATGTACACCAGGCGCTGCAGGGCCGGCGTCGCGGAGCTCCAGTCCGTGGCCATCACGTCGTGCACCACCTCCTCGTTCTGCGCGGCAGGTGTATTCCGAGCACTGCTCTCGTCGCTCTGTCTCTCTCGCACTCGTGGGGCGTCCCGTAAGGGTGAGAGAGAGACAGCGTCGAATGGGTTGCCTACTCTCGGGGCGCGGCTGGCCGATTCCGAGCACTGCTCTCATCGCACAGTAGCGACTCTGGAGCTCAAAACGCGTCTAGAGTTTTGGCCGCCTCCTCCGGCCGTCTGGCCCACTGTGCGTCGCTGGGGCGGGAGGCAGGCGAGAGAGGCGAGGAGGCAGTGTTCGTGATCAGCCAGCTGAGGGACTCACCATCGTGCGGAGCTGGTCCGAGCTGTAGGTGCTGATGCCGACCAGGCAGTTGGTGCAGATGAGGATCATGAGCGTGGCCATGAGGACGCCGTTCGCACCGCCCTGCGCCACAGAGACTTGTTTCACGACATCGTTTTACGACGCGGCAAGACAGTAACTCCGAAACCATCGGCGAACTTGACTTACGGCGCCGGATATGAGGAAGAGCATGACGCCGATGAAGCACAGCGACACCAGGAACAGGATGAGGATGAAGGCGCGCACCGCGTTGTTCACCTCCTCGGCCGCGCTGCGGAGACGGGGGCAAGGGGTTAGAGAATCAAATCCGGAGTCGGGCTATAAGCGGGTGCAAGGCCCTCAGTGCTCACCCCTTACTTGAGTATGTCTTGCTGGAGCGTGATGCAGTGCACCAAGCGCTTCTTCACCATCTTCTCGGACGTCGGACCCGCGGTGGACGCGCGGAACGGAATGGACCTCACGAGCACGCCGAGGATCTGAGAGAGAACCAGTGGCAGTAGACCGATTCAGAGAGTCGTTTTCGTCGCACTGTCTCTCCCGTACTTATAGGCGCCCCGTGAGATGCGAGAGGGACAGAGCGACGAAAACGACTCTCAGAATCAGTCTGCAGGTCGGTTAAAGTCCCGGACCCTGCGAGGGGTTGTTCTTGGGGGCCGCTACCCTGGCTTGGAACGACAGGAAGATGGTGAGGCCCCCCCAGAAGGTGATGTAGCCCACGTTGATGACGGTGCACGTGTACTGGCTCACGGCCTGCGACAGGGCCATGACGACCTCCTTGGCGGGGGTGTCGGGCTCGCTCAGCAGCCAGAACTTGCTGGCCATGAAGGGCGAGGGCCGCACCCCGGACGCCATCCAGTCCACGGCGGGCGTCGTCACCACGCCGGTCTGCAGAATGACGTCATTTGACCGACAGACCAGCACTGGCAACAAGAAGAAGAGAGCACGGCGGACGCGACGCACCGACGAGTAGGTGAACCAGCAGATGTACGCGAGGACGAGGCGGTTGACGACGAGCCGCGCGCGCTTCTGCAGAGCCGCCACATTGTGCTCCACGACGCCGAAGCCGTGGTCGCCGTGCCGCATCCGCGCCATTCGCTCGGCCTCGGCCCTAAGCGCCTGCAAGAGAGCCAATAAGAAGGAGGCTACACCTGTCTGGCCGCGGTGGAGTGGCCAGTTTAGGTTAGCCAACCTGCAGGGACCGGACGTGCGCGAGGGACTGGTGGAAGATGGCGAGGGCGAGGAACCGCCACAAGGTGCTGATGAGGTTGTTGGCGCGCACGGGCATGGGCGCGTCCACGAACACCATGCCGCCCGCCTCGCCCAGCACGTTCACCAGGGTGAACACGCCCATGCACAAGCTGTACTTGGCGTAGAGCTGCCGCCCGGCCTCGGGGGCGGACTCGGGGGGCAGCCACAGCCCGCCCAGGGTCAGCAGGCGGACACTCCTCGCGAACACGGGGGCGGCGTCGGCGGCGGCCTCCGAAACGGAGTCGACGCTGTAATCACTTGTTTTACGCGGGGTGGTTCGTCTCGATGAACGCAGACTCCCCCTCCCGCCCAGGCTCACCTCCGCTGCTTGTCCTGCATGCTGGCGAAGTAAGCCGCCGCGAGGCGGGCCGCTAGCGTGTCCGAAGTGCAACATTAGCCAGTCATCGGCCGCCATTGGCCAGTCGTTGGGCCGCCGATCGCTGCCATTACTGCATTAGCTCGGGACGGGACTCGGAGACTCGGACACGCAGCGTGGCAAGGCGAGTCCCCGCAGCGTCGGCAGCCCCCGCGCGCCGCATGCCGAATGGGCTGCCTACCCCCCGGCGCAGCGCTGCGCAGCACAGGCACGGCCACTCTTGGTTGCCTGCCCGGCCAGCCCCGCCAGCCGTGGCGGCGCCGCCCGGCTGGCGGCCTGCCGCGTTTTGTCCTGCCCCGCCCGAGGAAACGGTTTTGTTGGTATTGAAGTTTTTCTTGCGGCGGCCGACAGCCGCAGTGTGACAAAAACGGTGGCGGGGGAGAAAGTCCTCCCGTATTCAGAGGCTTGCGTCACTCAGTGCCTCGCTACGAAATCGACTGGTTCGCCACCTCACGCCGCTTTGATCGGGTCACCGCAGCGCTGATTGTCTCATTGAACCACAAACGCCCTCGCTCCGCGACGCTCCGCGACGCCGCGACCCGCGTTCCCTTCCCAGCACTTTCCCTTGTCGACCTGCAGGGAGCGTCCTGCCCGCCGACACGAAGGCACCTGCCGCGCTGCCGTGCCGCCGCACAATGTCAATGTCAGAGGATGAGGGTCTCACCGACCGGCGAGGAGCCGAGTCGCGCCGGGCAGCGCCGCGAAGCGTCATGGACCATCCACAGTCGGACCAATTGCTCTTGGCAGCAAATTGCATTCCGAAGAAAAGGGAAAGGAGTGCGCAGTTTTGGCAGAAAAATGCACTTGGCAGAAAAGGGTAAAGGGTGCACATTATTGGCAGGAAAACGCTCTTGGCAGGAAAATGCTATTGGCAGGGAAGGGTAAAGGCCGCACTCTATTGGCGGCGTGCCGGCCAGCCGGCGCAAAGTGAGCGCCTTATGCGCGTGCGGATACCGGGGCAACGGACATGCCGTGACGCAACCGCGGCGACAGCGACACTCGGCGACTTGCCGGCGGACACAATAGCGTCACCCACATCACGTATGGATTCAGTTTCCGTTGCCGGGAAGTGGCGAAGCGGGGAGGGGGGCCTTTTGCGCCGTTGATGATCAGAAAGCATGAATTGGGCGGCGGAGCCCGGGAGGATTAAATTAGGGTCACGTAATAACGGGCGTGCCCGCCCCACCCCGCCCCGCCCCGCCCGAATTCGCTCCCTCGGTGCGCGGTGCGGGCCGCGGCACGAGGGCACGAGCCGATCGGCGAGCGTGGCGGCACGCGGCGCCGCATGCAGTTTGCGGTGTTATGTCGGATATGGGTCCGAGACTCGGTCCGAGACGCAGAGGGGCCGAGGGGCCGAGACGGCGCGGCGCCGAGACGGACAAGGAGCGGAAGCGAGGGAAGGCCGAAGCCGAAGGGAAGCGAAGGGAAGGGAAAGGCGTGCGGAGAAAATTCTTTTTTGGCGCCGCGCCGCGCGGCTTGTTACGATGCAAATACATCTCACGCGCGGCGCGCGCCCCGCCCCCGACGGCCGGCCTGCCTGCCTGCCTGCCTGCCTGCCCGCCCGACTGACTGGCCGCTCGTCTGTCCGGCCGGGCGGTGCCGGGCGGCTGAGCGGCGCGACGACGCGAGCCTCCCTCCGGGCCTTCCGGCCGTCGCGACGCGTCCTTGGCGGCCGAGCGCCGCGCCGCCACGCTTTTTCCTTCACTGTCACACTGACGGGGACCCTCGCGGCACGCACGCCCGCCGACTCAAGTGTCTGCCGCCCCGCCACGCCCCGCCACGCCCCGCCCCGCCACGCCCCGCCACGCCCCGCCGGCAGAGCAATCTCACCCGCGATGGAAGGCAAATTAATTTGGCGCCGGTTACCGCGAGACGTGCCGGACAGACAAGCAGGCAGCGCAGAGCGCCGTGCGTTCCCGGGGTAGGCCGACCCGCCGCACGGCAGTGCGTCGCCGCGTGCCGCGCGGCCTACCCCGCCATTACCATTACCATTACGGGCTAGACCACAACCGATCGCTAAATGGGACTCGAACCGAGCGCGTGACCCCGCCTCGTTCGGAGAGCAACTCATTGGTGGGGTCACACGTTCTGTTCGACCTTGAGCTCAAATCGCGTCCGGGATTTTGACTGCGTCCACCGGTCTTCTGGCCCACCGTGCAGCCCCAGCCTCCAGTGGCAGTGGCAACCGGAGCAGCGATTCAGATCCCGATTGTCGCCCCGTTGCTTTGTCTCTGCGACTGACTCGGTGACTCGGCGGCAGGAAGGACACCGCGGTGGGTGTGACTGTGGCGTCTAGAGGTCTAGTGTCTGCCTCCGGGCGCCGCGCCACGCGCTACGCGCCACGCCACGCTCCAGCAGACTGATTCCGAGAGTCGTTCTCGTCGCTCTGTCTCTCTCGCTCCCCAACGGAACGCCCCATGAGTGCGAGAGAGACAGAGCGGCGAAAACGACTCTCGGAATGGACATGCAGGCCGCCGCCCTGGACCTATCGCCCTTGCGCCACCTCGGCGTGACTGCGCTGCGCGGCGCGGCGCGCGGCGGTGACGCGCTGTTTGCTGCCAGACTGATGGCTATCTCTGAGTAGCCGGGGAGCTCAATGGGCAGGAAAGGGCGCCACGTCTGTATTGGAGGGCCGGCCGGCGGCGGGCTCATGCCGTCGCTCTGTCTCTCTCGCTCCCTTGCGGAACGGCGCGCCAGTGCGAGAGAGACAGAAGAAGCGCTGGAATGAGCCTGCCGCCAGAGTGCCGGCTCCAGCATCAATGCTCGGCATTGCCCGCGTGTCGCAATCCGGAGTGCAAATAACGCGCCAGCGGCGCTTTCCTGTCTCTCTCGCACGCGTATGAGGGAGACCCACCAGTGCGAGAGAGACAGAGTGACGAAGGCGCTGTTTCGGATCAGCCTGCTGCACATCACACCACGGGTCCGCCTGGCGCAGGACAGGCGGCAGGCATACGCCACCAAGTGCACGCCTTGCTTCACGTTCTCGCGGAGCGCGCGCACTTCCCGGCCCCGCTTGCCAGGGGCTTGCCAGGGCCGCGGGAAGAGCAAGTGCCGTGGCGCCGTGGCGCAAGGAGGCCGTCGCCGCCGTGGTCATCGCCACCAACACCGAGACCCATCATCACCACAGGGGCGGAGGCGAGTTTGCTGAATTACGAAGACGGTTACGGCGTACGGCCGGGTGCAGAGGTTCACGATGCACATCTCTGCCTTACGCACACACTGAGCGCGCTGGGCCCGGTCCGGCGCGAAGCAGATGCGGTGCGGATACCGGCCGAGCGTGAAGCGCGAAGCGCGAAATGTGAGATCCCCGCCCACAACAAGGAGCCCAACACGCAGGCCCCACCCTCGGCTCACAAAACGAATATGAAACTCATTAACGTTTGCCACTTGGGCCGGGGGTTCTCAACCTTACCCTCGCGCGCCGCGCGATGCTCTGCTTCGACGCCGCTCAATGAATGGGCCTGATGGCGGTCCGGGCGTGGCGTGGGCGTGGCCGCTCCACATACTGCATGCCGCGTCGCCGCTTCGCCGATTTGCGCAACCCTCGGTGTCCCCCTTCCCCCCCTTTCCCCCGGCCATTCCGGTCCGCCCCTGCGGGTCGCCGCGGTCCTGGCCCGCGGGGGGCCGCAGGCAGGGCTGCGGCGTGCAGGGTGTCGCCAGAGGACGCGGAGGCCCCCGTCGTGGCGGCCGGGTATGGGCCGGGCCCCGGCAGCCCCGGCAGGGCGCTTTCGACTCGACTCGACGACGCCAAGGTCGACCGCCAGGCCGCCGCCACAATCCAGTTCACGGGAACCGCCACCGCCGGCAGCAGGGCGCGGCAGGGCCGGCCCGGGCTGCACAAGTAGTGTGTGATCAGATAAGGCCATCGAATGAGCCCCGATTGCACAAAGCCGGAGTTTTCAGTTTTTCGAGCCCAAAAACAGCGTGGGCGTATCGCCGGGGCCGCGCCGGTGTGAAATTGGCGGGAAAAGTATTGCCATTCAAAAAGAGGCTCGCTTATGCTGCAGCACGGCCGGGTGTCCAAACAGACGCGGACCAGAGAAAACCCGGGGAGTGTTCTCACGTGCCGTCTTCGTCTTTGGGAGCGAGACGGCGCCGAGGGGTTACGCCCCCTCTCTCTCGCACACCCGCAGTTCGACTCGCGACCATTTTTGGTTCGGTTCATTCCTTCCTTCGATTCGATTCGCTGGGAAATGCGGACTCGGTTTTCCGGACCGCTCTCACGTCGGCGCGCAGGTGCAAGGTGCACGCTGGGGCTGCCGCCGCCGTCATCGGCGTGGTCCGGGAGGCCGTCGAGGAGGCCGTCGGGGAGGCCGTCGGGGAGGCCGTCGGGGAGGCCGTCGGGGAGGCCGTCGGGGAGGCCGTCGGGGAGGCCGTCGGGGAGGCCGTCGGTGCATCCCCGCTGGAGGCCCTCGAGGCGCCCCGCGATGGTGAGTCCGAGGGACCGAGTCCGGGGGACCGCGGCGAGGCGAGGCGAGACGCTGGGAAACGGGCTCTCCCTTTTCCCTACACCGCAAACGCGCTCACATACATCACCGCGTTTCGTTTCGCGTTCGGCCTGCCGTCGTTTCGTTGTCCGTTTCGACAGCGTCTAGCCGACTAGGCCCTGACCCGCCCCGCCCCGGCGCGCCCCGCCCGCCTCGTTAGCGCCTTTCCGGATTGTTAAACCGCCGTTTTACCCCTTATAATGTCATGCGAGGCAAATGCGTCGCACGATTTAGGCGGGACTCTGCTCTGAGAACTGGTCCGCTGCTGTGTGTGAGTGTGTGAGTGTGTGTGCGACATGTCGGCGGGTGTATTGTGCTCTAGTTCCTCGTATGAGTATGTTGCAATGCCTCGGACCCGGTCCCCGCGGTCCGCGCCAAACCAGCGCGTGGCGTCGCCGTGGCGTCCACAGCAGGCTGACTCCGCACAGCGCTTTCGTCGCTCTGTCTCTCTCGGGCTTGAACGGGACGCCCCACGAGTGCGAGAGGGACAGAGCGACGACAGCGAGGCGGACGTGGACCGAGCTTCGGACGCGGAATGGCGAGCGGACTAGGCGACTTGGATGTCGTCGCTCGGATCTGCAAGAGAAACCAAGTGTCCGACAAGATTATACCTCGCGGCAACGCAGTACCTTTAAAATACACACACTGGAATTACGTGTCAGCGGCGTCCCAAATGCATGGGAAACGTCATACTTTAATCTGGCCCTACGAATGGTTTTCTGCGTTGAGAAACGTGCTCAACTTCTTTCTTTTTGCCTACGCGCAGTGTGGGCTATCGCGAGCACACGCGATGCGGATGCGACCCTGGTTCCGTTTCTCTCCCCTTTCCAACGGGCCTCCCTGTTCTCTTTGTGAGTGAATCCTGACCGAATCGCGCCACTCTCCGCGCCGATCCGACGGACAGCCCGACGGACAGCCCGACGGGCAGCCCAAGGCGCAGACAGACAGCTAATGGTCCAGTTCCCCTCAACTGGCTTATGCACCAGGCGGACCACTTTTTATGGCAGCACGGGTTCGGCGTCCGAGACTTTTTTAAGGGGCGCATCAAACTCCTCCGGGTGAAAGATGAGCGGCTGCCGTCCGCTGCCGTCCGCCAGAAGGGGCGGCCAGGCCAATTTCTCCCGAAACCGGCGGCGCCTCGAACCGAACCGAACCGAAATTGCGAGAGGAACTTTAATTTGTCGGTCGTTTACTTTAACGACGAGGTCGCGCGGGGCGCGGTTTGGCGGCGCGCGTCGCGGTCGTGCGTGGCGGGGACGCCGGCCGGGGCACTGCCGGAGCACTGCGGCAGCAGCTCGCCGACGTGCTCCGTGACGACGAGGACGTGCGCGCCGCCAAACCGCGGCCCGCGCTAATCGCCGCCTTAATGTTGACGAAGAAAGCGCCCGGCGCCGACAAGCTGGCCAAGGCCGTGGCCGCGCTACCCAGCAGGTGGCCGAGGCCGTGCTATACCTATACCAGGCAGGTAGCCGAAGCCGTGCTGTACCAGGCAGGTGGCCGCGCTCTACTGACAAGAAGATGGCCGAGACCGTGGCCGCGCTCCGCCGCCAAGAAGATGGCCGTGTTGGTGCTACCCAGCAGGTGGCCGAGGCCGTGGCCGTGCTCGAACCAAGGGCGCTGCGCGCGCAGCACAATGGCACTATCAGACTGTAGTCCAATTTCCCCCGTGGATTGGCGGCAGGAAGCGTCGCGCTTTGCCCCGCTTGTCCTGCAGACTGATGCCGAGAGTCGCTTTCGTCGCCCTGTCCCTCTCGCACCTACACTGGGCACCCATGAGTGAGAGAGAGACAGTGCTGGCGGTGCAGCGCGGCTAGACTTAGCTTGGGGACGCGGCGACGCGGACAATGCTCCATTCCCGGTGCATCCCATCCATCCCGGCGCGGGAAATGTCGTGAACTTGAAGAGGCAGGGGGCGCGACGCGGCGCGACGCGCGACGCCGAGGTGGCTGGCGACCCTGCTGGCTCGCGGGGCAAAATCCCAGGACCCAGGGTCGGATCCAGGCGGGAGGGGGCAGCCCGGGGCAGTCAGTGGCAGTCAGTGAAAGTTGGGGAGGGGGCATGCCGGGCATGCCTCTATGCCCTGCACACTGCACCGCGGAGCCGCGGAGGGTGGGGGCGCTGGAGCCACGCTGCGATACGCCGCGAGGGAGGGGGAGGGGGCGCCGCGCCGCGCCGCGTCGAGGGCCCCACCCGGGCAGGCAGCGGCGCGGTGGCGCGGTCCGAGACAGATCACTTCACGACGCGGTCGGAGAAGGTGTGCTCCAGAGACTCCAGACTTCAACATGAGGATCTCCAGGTCAGCCCCGCCAGTGTTAGCCTCTGAGAGTGTCTGTGTGTGTGCGTGTTCGGTCGCGTTCTTCGCGAGGACCGCGGTGTACATCGGTGCGTCATCCACCATGTGTGTGTGTGTGTGCGTGTGTGTTTGAGTGTGTGTTCCAAGTTATTGGGTAGGGCAGGGTTACGAAAGAGGAACCGGTCGGACAGGCCAGGGTGGCGCGGAGAGCCACGCGGAGGCCCTTCAACCGCCTGCGCGCGCCTGCGCGCGCCTGCGCCAGTACCGACGCTGGCCAAGACGGCGAGGTGCAATGTCTGGATGACGACGATGACGATAACGTAGTGCGCTGCAGCCGGCGGTAACCTTCCACCTTCCACTGGACTTTCGGCGCGTGCCGCACGTTGGCCGTTGCCTTGCCGTTGGCTTGCCGTCGGCTTGCCGTTCGCTTCCCACCGTTAGCGGCGTTAGCGGCGTTAGCGGCGTTAGCGGCGTTAGCGGCGTTAGCAGGCCGCCCGGGGCGCTTTCCATGGCGTCCGGAAGAAGGAGCTCGCCTTCAAGTCGTAAACGGCCGCGCGGAACCGTCGGAAGGCGCACCGGTTAAAAACGAAACGGGGCGCCTCGGTGACGTTTTCGCGTTTTGACGTTTTGACGTTTCGCGGCAGCTGGCGCGGAGACGCGGAGACGCGGGGAAAGGCTTTCTCGGCGACAGCGGCGCTGGAAAAGGAATCGCCGGACGGCCCCGTCCGTCCGCACGTACGGCGTGTCCGCCCAGTGTCCATCCCGACGGCATTCCTCTCGGCCACAGTGGATTTGCCAGCAGACCGCGGTGCCGCCGGCCAAAACTCTAGACGCGCTATGAGCTCCAGAGTCGCTAAACAGGACTCGAACCGCGCGTGTGACCCCACTGATGGATTCCTTGTTCGGAGAGCAATCCATTGGTGGGGTCACACGTTCGGCTCGGAGTCCCATTTAGCGACTCTAGAGATCAAAACGAGTCCGGTATTTTGGCCCTGCTTGACGAGTCCTCACAATGCCACCTCAACAATGGGTAGAGTCCAGCTAGAGCCTGGCTGGAGCTATGGATGGAAATCAATGGGACGCTAGTTGCCAATGCTGTTGAGTTTTTCAAAGAATTCGGCGTCGTGTTTTTATGTTGTTTCGGCCGCTCTCGTGGGGCACCGCCGAGGCCGGGGGTTGCCGTCCACACATGGGGGATCGTGAGTGCAAGTCGGTGGGAATGAACTGCAGGAATCACACGTTTCAGCGTGGCCGCGTGGGTAAGGCAGTCGATTCCGAACCGTGAGTTTTTAAGTTCAGGTCCACACGTTTGTTTGTTTTTTCTGTTTTTTTTTTTTTTTAGTGGAAATAATAGATTTCTTGCGCAAGTGGATCACTTGCTGATAATTTTTGAGAACGTCTGGCGTCCCGGAAGCCGACTGCAGGATGGAATTAGTGGTAGAGTGCGTGACCCCCAGCAGCGCCAAGCAGCGGCATTTCGGGTGGATGCTTTCATGCTGCCGACAAGATTCTAGGAGTTTGTAGTGATAGGGTTACGTCTTACCGGTCTTGCCTTCCTGCACCCCGCGCTTCAGTGGCGCAGAACAGCCCCTCCCCCCCCCCCCTGCCCCGCCGACTCGGTGCGCTGCTGCTGCTCCCACACTGGTAAAGGCCGCAGCTTTCCTCCTTGTTTTGGCGCGCAAATTGAAGAAACCGTGCCGTGGGAGGCGGCCTGCCGGGCCTGCCGGACGGGCTGCCAACCGGCCTGCAGTGCCGGGTGTGCCGCGCTGCCACGCGATGCAACACTGCAAGACGCACTGCAGCCGATCGTGCCCCGATAGGCCGATAGCTGACCCGCAGCAATCCTTAATTTCACTCGGTGGCGATCAGGCGATCAGCGAGAGAGAGAGAGAGGGAGATAGAGGGGTTTGGAAACCGCATCGCAGCGGCACGGCGGCAGCGCGCCGATCGCAAACAATGCGCCCTTTGCGGCGGGGGCGTGCCGGCGCGCTGTCTCTCTCGCACTCACGGGGCGCTCCATGGGGGTGCGAGAGAGGCAGCGCGACGAGGCGCGTTGCGGAAGGCCGAGCAGGGCGGGCGGCGGTCGCAGGGCAGCCAGGGCAGGGCGCGGCGGCGGTCGCAGGGCAGCCAGGGCACGGCGCGGCGGCGGCCCCAGTCACTGACCCGGCCGTGCCGTGGCGGGTGCCGGGTGAGTGAGGTGAGCCGCGAGGCACCGGACCTCCTCGCCCTCCCGCAGTGCACTGGGAGAAGCGCATGTTCTCGCTGTGGAGCGATTCCACCGCCCGCACCCCTAGGGCACTTTCCACGAGTGCGAGAGAGACAGAGCGACGGGTCGTGCCCGTGAGGTCACCCCTTCCCTTCCGGATCACTCCATCGCGAGGCGTCCCCGGGGACCTTTCACTCTGGAGTCTCTGGAGGACTCTCTGGACTCGGGGCGGGATGGGGATGGCACGGCGGGGCATGGCGGAGAGGAGCGGTCAAGGTTGCCCGAGCAGACTCCTCACCTCACACGCCCGGCCGGCCGGGGCACGCAGGCAACAACTTTCCTTTTCCTTGACTCTGGACAGGACGCCGCGACGGCAGGCGACGCCATGCCGGTCAGGCTCCAGCAGCTCCAGACGCCATCCTCCAGGTCGACGTGCACACGCCGCTGGAAACGGGAGTGTTTTCGTTTTTCCAGCACTTGTCTCTTCTTTTTCTTCCGGCCTCCCTCATTGTCTGGCCACTAATTAGAGCCCGGCGGACCGATTCGCTCATGTCTCTCTCGCACTCATGGGGCGGCCCGCGTCGGTGCGATAGAGACAGAGCGGTGCCGCCACCGCGAGGCGCCGCGAGGCTAGGCGGCAGGGCGGCGTGGAGGCGAGCGGTTGACACCTCGCTCCGCCTAGAAGGCCTAGAAGGCCTAGAAGGCCCAGAAGCACCACGCGGGCGGGCGGTGACGTCACCAAGGCTGCCGTTCCGTCGGTACGCTCAAAGAAAGTGAAGGCCAACGCCTCCCCGAGGGATGAGCCCACTCGGAAATCCATTTCCGGTTAGGAAAACGATGCACTCCAGACTCTAGTAGCACTCCGAGGTGCGCGCGCCGCTCGGTCCAGTGCTAGATCAGGGGCGGGACCTCTCTCTCGCTCTCGCGCGCTCCGCGTACAAGTCCGTCTCTTTCTAGTGCTCGGTCCAGCGCGAGGCGTGACGCCGCGTTTTTTTTGCTCCTCCGTTGCGACTTGAGGCTTGACGCATGCGAGCAATCAATCTTGTAAATCTGTGTGCCTGGATGACATCACAGCGCGGCCCGCCCGGCTGACATAAGCCGACTTGAATTAATTTTGTTGTGACGCGAGTCGAACGCCCCGCCCCGCCCCGCCCCGCCCCGCCCCGCCCCGCCCCGCCCCGCCCCGCCCCGCTCTAGTCGCGGCGTGTGGAGTGGGCGCTAGAAAGCGAGACAGAGACACCTTGCCGCCGTTCCAGTTTTTGCCCTCCGCCGTGACAGGTGCCATTGTGACCGCTGGAGCGCTGGCGCGCTGGAGCCGGGGTCCGACCTGCCCTCACCCTTACCTCATCACACTACCCCCTCGCCCGCCCCCGCCCCACCATGCGAACGCGGTCGTTTCTTGTTCCTCGCAGAGCGTTTAGCGCGGCGCCCTCTTGCACAGGGCGACCGAGCGCGCGGCTTCCCAGTCAGGCAAAAGGAAAAGTGGGGGCAAAAACGCGCGGTGCAAATCGGCGGGGTCGAGTCGCGCGCGTCTTTTATTCACACGTCCCAAGTAGAGCGATTTCCAAGAATCGTAGCGTCGTTCTGTCTCTCTCTGTCGCACTGGGGCGTTCCGTGGGGAGTCCGTAGGGGTGCGAGGGAGCAAACGATCTTCGGAATCGCTCGGCTGGCGTCACGCGATGGTAGCGTGCCAGTGCCATGGCAGTGCCTTGGCAGTGCCTTGGCAGTGCCTTGGCAGTGCCTTGGCAGTTCCTTGGCAGTGCCAGTAGCCCCAGTTTTCGAGGCTCGCCGTTTCTGCAGCATTTAGCGTCCATTTTCCTCTCTTCATACGCCGCCGTGCCGTCGGTGCATCCGCAGTCCGCAGTCCGCACCGCGACGCTAGTGCCCGCCCCGGAGTGCCTGCAGTGCCCCAGAGAAAGTGCCCGCGTCCGGTAGAGTCCAGCGCGCTGTTTAGCACGCCGTCCAGCGCGGCGCCTCATTCCGAGAGTCGTTTTCGTCGCTCTGTCTCTCTCGCACTCACGGGGCGTCCTCTATCGGCGCGAGAGAGACAGAGCGACGAAGACGACTCTCGGCGTTAGTCTGCTGGACCCGCTGTAGGTTCGCACCGCTCCCGTCCGCTCATGCATGGGCTGGGAGGACGCCAGGCTCGTCTGCCGAGGAAAGTGGTTCGGATTACGTGTGCCGATCGGCCGGGCCCGACTAGACGCATTCAAAAAGGCGAAAAAAGCGTCGACTTTCCTCTCTCTCCTTCTCTTCCCTGGGAAGTACTTCTCCCTTCCCGGCGAGGCTTGGCGCTTTGCCGCGCGTTCCTCGCGTGGAATATCGGCTTCTCCAGACCACTTTGGCCGCATCAGACGCCATTAAGCTCTTATTGCTGTTGGCAGTGGGCCGGCCCGGCGATCGCTTCGGAACTGCACTGCTCACGCTGCACACGTAGTGCCGGCCCAGTCACGCAACAGCAACAATGCGTTATTCCTTGGCGCTTGCTGTGCCGGCCCGGCCTGGAGTCGTTTCGTCGCTCTGTCTCTGTTGCACTCATCGAGCTCTCCGTGAGGGTGCGAGAGAGACAGAGCGCTTCGAAGGGCGGCGCGCGGCAGGCGGCCCGGTACCGCCGGTACGGAGTACGGAGTACGGAGCGGGGCCGCAATTCCGACCGATTTCTGGCTTGCGGTTACCGCACTCAGCTTGTTACACGTTTTTGTTGTTTCTACTTTACTTTTATTACTTTTTCCTCGTCTCGTGGGCGGGGGAGTTATTTTTCTGGGTCAAAGTCAAATAAAACGAAGGCAAAAGAATGAAGGATGTCGTCACTCCACGCAACCACACGACAGCGTCAGATCGACTCGCGCGCCGCCAAAGTGGAGCAGGCAAGCTGAGCCCCCCTCCCCCAAGCCCCCCGTCGGGGCACCGGGCCACGGGCGGCCGCATGGCGTATGGCCCATGACAGGACACACTGCGGCGGCAGCCTCGGAGCGCCATCCCCGGGGCATCCCCTGGACGTGGGCACCTCCGCGCCCTCGCCATGGCGTCCATGAAGTCCATGAGGACAGCGCCACGGGCACCAGCTCACCAGCACATGTCACGGCCTCGAGCGAGTCCGGAGTGCGGCCCTACGCCAGCCGGTGGCAGCATGGCCTGCAGACGGATTCCGAGAGTCGTTTTCGTCGCTCTGTCTCTCTCGCACTCATGGGGCGTCCTGTGTAGGTGCGAGAGAGACAGAGCGACGAAAACGGACTCTCCGAACCAGGCTTGCAGTGCCGTGGGCAGAACAAGAACAGGTTCACCGGATCAGGGCGCGACCGCGCACCGCCGACGCAACTGGTTCGCAGAAAGGACACGAGCGGAATCCGGACAGGAGAGAGAGACAGAGACGGCGGGCGAGCGACTGCAACCTGCAACGAGGCGGTCAGGTGGTTTACTGGCCTAGGGAAGGCAGAGAGGGGATGGTCCAGATAGATCAGGGTGTCCCATTCCCCTTCCGCTGGAATGTTTTCAGGGGAATGCCGCCGAAAGTGTGAATAGTGAGACGCAGGCCTTGCCGTTGGTCTCAGGCCGTAAAGCAACGCTCGTTTGCGCCGAGCGCGCGTGGTAATGCTTCCGAGAAAGTAAAGACCGTCCTGGAGACGGCGGCGTCCCCGTGCCGGCCTCCCCCTCGGCTCCCTCGTCGGCCGTCGCCATTGTTGCCGTGACGCCATCGGCGTTCTCACACACTCGCGGCGCGCGGCGATGATCGGGATCTCGAGATGATGATGATGAGGGTGATGGCATGGGAAACGAAGCGCGAAGGCAGGCGACGAATTCCAGTGTAATGGAGGCTCTCTCTCTCTCTCCCACGCACGCAAGCACGGACGCACGCAGTCGGGTGCACGCAAATGCGCGCGCAGGCAGGACAACGCATCGGCTCGCCGGGGGGAGAAAGCTGGGCGGGGCGGTGCAGGGAGGCGGAGGCAGGGGGCGGAGGAGGCAGGACCACGCAGGGCCGCCCGGTGATGCAACACTGGATTGGCTGCTGTCCTTTATTTCCCTTGCGGCGCGAGTGTGTGTGAGAGAGTGAGTGAGTACGCGGTAGTGTGTGCGTGTGCGGGAGGTCTTGGCCAACCAAAATATGCCGCGACACGCGCGTCGCGCGCCTTCGCTGCTTCGCCAACACGGCCCGTCAACACGACATGCATTTTTTGTCTGCCCCATACGGTTTTTTGTCTGCCCCATACGGTTTTCTGTCTGCCCCATACGGTTTTTTGTCTGCCCCATACGGTTTTCTGTCTGCCCCATACGGTTTTTTGTCTGCCCCATACGGTTTTCTGTCTGCCCCATACGGTTTTCTGTCTGCCCCATACGGTTTTTTGTCTGCCCCATACGGTTTTCTGTCTGCCCCATACGGTTTTTTGTCTGCCCCATACGGTTTTTTGTCTGCCCCATACGGTTTTCTGTCTGCCCCATACGGTTTTTTGTCTGCCCCATACGGTTTTCTGTCTGCCCCATACGGTTTTTTTGTCTGCCCCATACGGTTTTTTGTCTGCCCCATACGGTTTTCTGTCTGCCCCATACGGTTTTTTGTCTGCCCCATACGGTTTTCTGTCTGCCCCATACGGTTTTTTGTCTGCCCCATACGGTTTTTTGTCTGCCCCATACGGTTTTCTGTCTGCCCCATACGGTTTTTTGTCTGCCCCATACGGTTTTTCGTTTGCCGCATACGGTTTTTCGTTTGCCCCATACGGTTTTTTGTTTGCCGTATACGGTTTTCTGTCTGCCCCATACGGTTTTTTGTCTGCCCCATACGGTTTTCTGTCTGCCCCATACGGTTTTTTGTCTGCCCCATACGGTTTTTTGTCTGCCCCATACGGTTTTCTGTCTGCCCCATACGGTTTTTTGTCTGCCCCATACGGTTTTTTGTCTGCCCCATACGGTTTTCTGTCTGCCCCATACGGTTTTTTGTCTGCCCCATACGGTTTTCTGTCTGCCCCATACGGTTTTTTGTCTGCCCCATACGGTTTTGTGTCTGCCCCATACGGTTTTCTGTCTGCCCCATACGGTTCTTTGTCTGCCCCATACGGTTTTGTGTCTGCCCCATACGGTTTTCTGTCTGCCCCATACGGGCCTCGCCGCGTCCTCGTCGTGAACCCCGCCTTCGCTCTGCTTGCAGGACGTGGCTGCTGCTGTTGGGGCTGGCGCTGGTCGCCACGGCGCGCGCTGAGGAGCAGAAGAAGGCCGAGAAGACGGTGGCCACCGAGGCGGCGGCCATGAGCGGCGAGGAGGACAAGGAGACCCAGCACACCGCCGAGACCCGGCCGCTGCACGCGCAGGTCGCCGAGGACCGCGTCGACGACCGCGACAAACGCCAGCTGCCCGGCCAGCACCTGCAGCAGCAGCACCTCCAGCAACAGCACCTGCTCACGCGCCTGCCCAACCTGGGCGGCACGCCTCCGCAGGTAAGCGTAAGTACCCGACTAACGCCCTCTCTCTCTCTCTCTAACATGCACCTACGTCCCTCCCACCACTTCCCCCAAAATAAAAATTCCACTCGTTGCTCGCCACTGGTGGAACCTTCTGGCCGTGTTTCCTGTGAGATCCGGCGGCGCGTTGGGACACTGCGGCCGCGTAACCGTAACCGCGCCGAGTGATCTATTTCAGCGCCGCCAACCACCCCGGCCCGGCGAAGGCCCGACGGGAATAGGAAAAGGAAACACACGCACTGGGCGCGTGCCTCTGCCTGTAGTCCAGTGGTTCTCAACCTTAGGGTCGCGACCCCAAGTGGGGTCGCGAAAAAATTTTAAGGGGTCGCGGCGAGGTAGCTGGGGTCGTGTTTTGGGCCGATTTTAAGCAGCTACTGCGTCTGATCCGAGGCGGGCATTTTGCTCCCTCAACGGGCAATTGGTCTTTGAACCTTCCTTTAGCATGCCTTTGTTACGGAGTGTGATTATCAGTCTTAGTTTGGGAGCAGTATTGTCTCAAAGTTTACCAAAACGGTCAGAAATGTCTTTGAAAAATCGTGTTTTGGGCCCCGTTGACCCAGGCGATTTCGCCCTGACCCGGGCGGTCTTTCGCCCTTTCCTTTTCAACGGGTGTTTTTGGTCTTTTTGGGACATTGCTTTGGGCCCAAAGCCTTTTTAAGAAGTTGTGATCGTTTGGACTTTGAGACATCGCTTAGAGTAGTTGTGAGCTCAAAAGGTCAAAGTGCCCGAAAACCCGCTCGGAAATGCCTTTGAAAAACCGTTGTGACTGGGTTTTGGTCAACTTTGAGACAATACTGCTCCCAAACTAAGATGATAATCGCATTCCGTAACAGAGGCATGCTAAAGGAAGGTCCAAAGAACAATTGCCCGTTGAGGGAGCAAAATGCCCGGCTCGGATCAGACGCAGTGGCTGCTTAAAATCGACCCAAAACATGATTTTTCAAAGACATTTCTGAGCGTTTTGGTCAACTTTGAGACAATACTACTCCCAAACTAAGACTGATAATCGCATTCCGTAACAGAGGCATGCTAAAGGAAGGTCCAAAGAACAATTGCCCGTTGAGGGAGCAAAATGCCCGGCTCGGATCAGACGCAGTGGCATGCTAAAGGAGGGGTCCCGTGGGGTCGTGAAACTTTTCCTGGGGGTCGCGGAAATTTTTGGCTACAAATTTGGGGTCGCGAGCCGAGAAAGGTTGAGAACCGCTGCTGTAGTCACTCACTCTTGTCCTCCCTGCGCAGGGCTTCCGCTCCGCCGTCCCCGTCCGCGAGCAGCCCGACGGCCTGGGCGGCCTGGGCAACTCGCTGTCCTCCACCGTGTCCCCCGTGCACCTGGTGCGCCAGTCCGCCCAGCCCGTGCCCGTGCAGGTCACCTACCGCGCCACTCCCGCCCCGCAGGTGATCCAGGGCCTGCCGCAGGGCCTGAACCAGGTGTACCGCGGGCTGCCGTCCGCGCTGCCCAGCCCCACGCCGTCCGCCGCCCCCGTGCGCCGCCCGGCGCCGCAGCAGTCCTACACCCGCGCGCAGCCCACCCGCCAGCAGTACGCCGACCTGCAGCAAGTCTCTGTGAGTATCCATCTACGGCTTTGTCGGCCTAGCGAACAGCCTGCAGGGTGGGCAGCCCGCCGGCCTTGCGCGCCGAGCGGGTCGGCCTAATCTTCGCTTCGCAGGCGTTCGGCCGCGCCGCTGCAGGCGCCGTCCGAACCGAATGCCTCCCAGACACTGACACTTCCTCTTTCTCGCCGTTGCCGTTCAAGGAGGAGGCCACGTCCGAGGAGCTGGAGCCCGAAAAGGAGGAGCCCGACCGCCTGACCGAGCTGCTGCCGCACTCCAAGTTCGCGTGCCAGGGCCGCGGCACCGGCTACTACGCCGACGAGGGCCTGGGCTGCGAGGTGTTCCACTACTGCCAGGACGGCGCCCGCCACTCGTGGGTGTGCCCCGAGGGCTTCACCTTCCACCAGGTGCACCTCATCTGCATGCCCCCCAGCAGCGACAACAACTGCCAGAAGTCGTCGTCCTTCTTCTTCGTCAACGAGTACCTGTACCGGCCCGTCAACGAGGAGGAGGTGCAGCGCAAGCCCAACGTGACGCTCCGGTACTCCGACCGCTACTACCCCCAGAACTACTACTCCGACGGCGAGGAGGGCGTGCCCCAGCAGCAGCAGCTGCAGAGCCAGGTGGTGCCGCAGCGCGTGCCCCTGCAGCAGGGCCTTCCCCAGCAGCAGCAGCAGCAGGCGCCGCGCCGCGCGTCCCCCGCCCCCGTGCAGTACCAGCCCACCCCCAGGCCCAGCGCGCCCCTCCAGCCAGTGTACCGCCAGTCCAACCCCTCCAACCAGGTCAGTCTCGGCTCCGTCTGAACAACCAAGACCTTTCAATTGTCTTGTCAATCCCCGAGTAACCGATGCGCTCATCCCGACAGGTGTTCCACTCGCCGGAGGAGGTCAACATCCCTCTGCAGCTGAGGAGACCCGTGGCGACGACGGCCCGGAACTTCCAGCCCACGGCCGCGTCGGACGAGTACGAGGACGACGAGCCCGTGTACCGGCAGGGCTAGTCCGAACCCAGCCAGCTGCAGCGCGGCCAGTGTGAACTTTTCGGTGCGCGCGTGGGCGGTGGCTGGGGGTTCGCGAAAGAGGCAGTCCCACCACGCCACCGCCCCGCCCGGGGCCAGGGGCCTCAGTGATAAGTGCGTGCGTGCGAGTGCCTAGTGAGTTGTTGTGTGAGTGAGGCCCGGCAGAGCGCCGGCCCAATTGATTAAATTATTTCTTAGATATGTCGATGACTGCTCAATCGAGGGAGCGAAGCAGGCGGCTCTGTCTGCGCAGTGCTGCCGTGCCTTTAAATTATTTTTGCCAAGCTGGTACGTCGAGACGAGTTGTGGCAGTCACTTGTGGTCGAGAAACCACATTCTGTGCCTAGTGTAAATTTTGTCGCAGAGATGTTTGTAAATGATTATGAGACTGTGTAACGATAAATTTTATTTTTGTACAGACCTCACCTCATGGTCCCTGTTTAATTTCAATAAAAGAGCAGCCCAAATCGATGGCTGGGTAGCTGATCGGACAGTCTCTTAAAATTGTTTCCTCATCCTAACCGACACTTGTTTGATTAGCACTCAACATCTTGAATTTTCGGACAGCGAAAAACTGAAATTCTTTGGTTAATTGAAAAGGACACACATTGGAGATTCATAATTCTTTAATTTGTGCATCATATTAAAAAAAAACAATAAAAAACAAATTAATGCAACTAAATTTTATGCAATTTATAAATTAAAATAAGCACAGGATACCCTTTCTGATCGGAGTTCACTAAAACGGAGCTGCATAGAAATCACATAGTTCTAGCTTAGGAAACTTTTGCTAGGACTGCTTAAGGCTTGGAACTTGGAACAGGATCTTAAGAGGTAGTTTGAAGCAGCTTACGCACATGAAACAGCATACATCTTTGGAGGAAATGATGAAAATTAACATAGATAGAGGTCCAATGCTCACTAATATATCACATTCCATCACAAAGAACATTTATTTTAGTCTCATATTTTTAGAGTTCAACAAATGCATTCCTAAAACGGCATTTTAATCAAAAAGGGTGTGATGAGCCTTAATGTTGATTTTATACAGAACTGACACAGCAAGTACATACATTTTAAGTCCAAAATCAGTCAAATGAGGCACAACTAGCATTACCTTGCACCTCAATAATACAGGGCTTATTAATTAGCTTTCAGTGGATTACAGGGTTACTTCATAAAGCCATATTGCTCTGATGCAGAGCAGCACATGGAGTTAAAATCTCATAATAAATAAATATACGGATTCAATCCTACAGATAGTACTTCAACATATGATTCTAATCATTTATTGATTCTATGCCTTAGCACAATTTGAGTATTACATATAAAAACTGAATCGCAAAAGTGATGTGTTAAAGGGAAATAGTAAAAAAGAACACAATAAAAATAATTTTGAAAATTGATGGAATTTATTTTGCAAAGACTTTTCAAAATTTTCCTATTCTCTGAAGTGGATTAAATCTTACTTCAAATGACTTGAGGGGGATGAATAGTTCTTGGTATGCTTTCTCATCCCAAATAGCAGAGACCAATAATAAATTTAACAGGGGGGGCAAAGAATTTTAAACATAACACCAACACAGGAACCGTCCTATCCAGTCTTCCAAATTTATCTCACTCCATAACTGACAAAATGCCAGTAAGCCTTCAACAGTTGCAAAATACTAATTTAATGCAGCATTAATGATGGCGCGTATTAAGGGGGCCTCTTGTCATCTTCTGACTGATGGCTTCTTCTGCCAAAAGCTGAGCACGAAAAGCGGCTACTTTCTCACGGAACTGCATCAGAGTGTCTATTTTCTCCGTCACAAGTGCCTCAAGATTTGAAGCATACGCTGAAACAAGTACAGAAATCGTTATTGATTAACTTAAACATGCAGAATGCGGCTGTTAGAGGCATTGCAGTTATTCAGCCAAGTGCAAACACACTCCTTTGAAGAGAAAGTGTGTGGAAGTCAGTTAAAATTTTGCTTCAGAAAGAACTGGAAGTTTGAACCTTTTATATAATGATTACATTCAGTGATGCACATTTTCATAAATACATGCTCATTCAGCAAAGCAGATAAGAACCATGAAAATAGCGACAATTAGAAGCAATTATGATGCTGGGCATCAAGGACATGGAAAAAGTTTACTGAAGAATTTGATAAAAATAGACAGTTTATAAAAATCACTTTTAAATTTCTGGTTGTGTGTGTGAATATTGTTGTTTCATTCCTTATTCTATATTGTTAAGAGAATATAAATTTCCTTGTAGAGAAGTATTGTATTAAGTACATCATAGAGCTAACTGCTCTAGTAGTATGACAGAAGATACAAGTTCAAAAACTGTGTAGATGCAAACATTCTAATCTATTCATGCAATGAGAAAAGGGTGCACAACTACTAACCAACCAACATGCAGTTCTGAATCAAATTTATTCACAAGTTAAGTAACTACAAAATAAACAGACAACAAGGAAAATAAGTACATCTTTTCCAAAATCAAGAATGAACAGAGAGAGAGAGAGAGAGAGAGAGATTGAGTAAAGCCACATAAAGAAACCAAAAGAAATGAGCCAAAGCAAATTGAATGAAAGCATGCAGCAACCGAGAACGTGAAGAAACACTACTTCAAGACAAGACTAGCATTCTAAAGACAAACTAGAAAGCGATGAAAACCAAAATAAAAATGGAAAGCAAATTTTCAGGCAATCATTGGCAACAAAGAACACAGCACAAGTTTTAGACAAGCAAAGAAACAATGCTAGTAACAGAAATGCCTGTAACCTCCTGCCTCATCATTCAACAGCAGAACCTGCCATGAGTATGATTAGATTAGTTGTTTTTGAATGGACGTTTAAAAATGAATCTTTGATAGGCCTAGCTTTGGATTAGTGTATGGTTTAGGAATCCTATTGAGCGCTGGTGCCTTGTACAATTTAAAGAAAACTGGCACAAGTTAACAAAGAATGTGTTGCTTCAAATTTTGAGCTGGGTGGCAGAAAAGGAATTTATGTTATGTAGAGCACGAGCAGGGAATAGAGAAATGGTAAAATTAGATAAACTGTGGTGTTTAAGAGGATGCTTAAAGCAAATTCCTTGAACCTTGTGCTTATGGCGCCTTGTAGCGTTGGTTCAGCAGTGTCACTGACACTCATCTGGGACTTGCCATGCATCTTGTGGGACCTTAAGTTCCCAGTGCTATCTTCATGGCTATCTCCTCCTTGAGGATTTCCGTCTTGAAGGAAACGAAGCCTCTCAGGTGGAAAGGATCTTTTCAATGGTCTGAATAATTGGATGCCGTTCTCAGTTGAGCTCCTGCGTAGTGGAGACTGATGAACTGGCCCAGGAGGAGGTGGAGGTGCTTTTTTTTCAAAGGGTATACTCATAGAGTCGTCAGATGGGGTTAAGGATGGAGTGCTGTCACTTCGATCAGGCGCTTTAACTTGTCGTCTATGATACCATGAAGGAAGAGATGTGTCATCATCTAGCATTTTAAGTGAGACAGGTATGCCATCACCACTACCATCAATTAGTGATAACCCCATCTGAGACTTTGCTCTCTTGAGTGGAGGAGAATTCTGAGGACTGTGAGGAATCTGCAATGGTCGCGCAGTTCGATGTAGCCCAACCTGAGAGACACATTTTCGAAGTGGTGCTGCCTGTGGGACTGAAGCTCTTTTGACAGGCGCAATGTGTCCAGATCGAACTACAGGGCTGGAAGATCTGCTACGAGCATTGCCAGAATCATTGTATTTAGCCACAATAGATGACACACGACCATTTGTCGCCAAAGGAGACAAAGGCGTGCGTCCAGATGAAAGATGCTGGGCACTAGAGGACGCCAAAACTGCCTGTGATTTGGACCTCTGGATGCTCCCACCTCTTTGACCAGGAGACGCTAATTGGTATGTGCCCTGCACTTTAGAATTTTTCGGGCCATACTGAACCCCAGGCCTAAAGTGGCTATTTTCAATTCTGCCTTGAGACGCATTCCTTTGATTTGCACTGCTGCTCTTTAATGGGATAGTGCCGCTGGGAGAAGGATTTGTGGTAGAGCTGCTCACCCATGGAGACCTTATGGTGCACGTTGCACTTCTCCCAAGAGAGTAGTGAGGCTGCTGTTTGAAAGGAGCTTTGACAGGGTCTGAAATTCTGCTCTGGGATTGAGAACGTACAGCCCTGCCACTCTGAACATATGAAGGCGGTATTCTAGTCTGAGACTTGGCCCGAGTCACTGGGTTGGCTCTCAAAGCTAATTTCCTCATTTCAGGCAGGTTCTGAGACTTCGTTGAAGATGAAGACAAGTGGGTTGGTCGGGTGCGTTGTGCTACAGTAGAAAGGGGGAATTGCCTACCGTCCTGGTCGTAGTCCACATCACGTGTATCAGCAAGCAACCGGCAGTCCATTTCATGCCAGCGCTGAGAGGCCTCCAAAACTGACTTGTGAGTATCTAAAACTTCATCTTCCTGCAATTGTAACTGTGAAACAGCTTCATGGAAAGTATAGAGATCAGCTGAAATTTCTCCTTCCTGTGAGGAAATAAAAGGAGTTAATTATTAACTTTGTAGGAAACATGTTTAAAGTTGTAGCGAGTAAGACTGCAGTTACTTACATTCAGTGACCGTAATTGGGCCAGGTCACTGTCATCCAACCCAATATCAACTGCATTTGGAGACCCCCTGTCTTGCTCTGGGGACGCTTTGTTTTCTGAAGGCCCGTTGGCAGCCAATTCCTTCACTCTGTCAGCATACCTCAAGGTGTTGAGAGAATGCTCACACGAACTCAGGCCTGGACTTATCATAGCAATCTAGAAGAAAAAGAAGATTAGGTACAAGCAAATAAAATGGAGATTAACCTAAAATTCAAGAATTTCTGGTGTAAGAAATTACCATGCACGTCCTTGATTTTTCTCCAATGAATGAATCCCTAAGAACCTGAGTCAGTTTGCTGGCTCTGAAAGGTAAATGAGCATTTTTCCTACCCAAAGCACGAATACATTCTTTGAGTGAGAGCAGAGATTTGTTGATTTCTGCACCTTCCATTCCTAAAAAATCAAGAAAAGACAAGAAAAATTATTAGAATTGCACACAAACAGATTTTTTTTTTTAAATAAAGAGAAGCACATTTCCTTACTAGTTTGTCTATTTGCAGATGAAGTATCTGCTCCCCTTTCATTGCCAGCCAAATCAATAAGAGAGAATTTGCCATGAACACGATGTGTTCCTGGAGTGCGAGCAACAATTTGAAACACTGCATGTGATCGCGAAGAGTTTGAATTTGCTGAAGTTTGACCAGAAGTACGTGCAGCATTGCCATGTTGAATGAGTTTTAATACATCCTCTACCGAGCCTACCACTTGTTCTGTCAGACCGACAATTTGCACTTGCTGCTTGCCGTCTTCTAGCACTCGAAGCTTGGCTTTGTCTGCCAGAAGGTCAAATACCTAAAGGGCAGGCACAAAGGTTCAAAAGGGTAAATATAATCAGTTACATGTAAAGGTTGCTGACAAAACAGACGTAACCTTACCTTTCCACTGTAGATTTCAAAGAAACTGGCAGAGATAACAAGGTTAAGTGGCTGGTATTTAGGAGACTTGAGGTACTTAAAGACGTCTTTGGCTGCCATGGCATATATACCCTTCTTGCAATCTTGAGTTTTACCCTGGAAGTCTCCTCCCATTGTATGTGTTTTACCACTACCTGTCTGACCATATGCAAAGCAAGTAGCCATACCACCTTCAAAAATGGTCTGGACAAGTGGCTGGGCTGTGTACCTGCAAAATCCAATTCAAAAAATATTAAGACCTTGATTTTATGAGATACTTCTGAGAAACCAAAATTTTACATTAACTTACTTGTATACAATTTCATTGCCACAATGTTCATCAAATGCATAATCAAATCTGAAGAACGCATTTTCAAGATATTTTGTGAGATCCACCTTGTTCTTAGGTTCATGCACAACTAGCTGGTCCCTGCTAGGAACAGTTATCACATCTACTTCTTTACGAGTTAATTCTGAAATACGAATATAAATGTTAGAGGATGTTTTCATCCAACTGCATTCAGTCAGCAACTAAATTATGTGACTACCATACCTTTTTTGTTGAGAGGCCTCTTTCTTACACAAACAGTGATTTGGTGATCTTCCACACCCTCTGATCCTCGCAAAGGTCGGATATCAATACCATTACGGTATTCTCTGCAAATCACAAGTCGAACATTAGTAACTCGGATGAGTCAATCGTCTGTTCATTTCCCTCTCGGGGCATCAGACCCACCGAATCATAGCCAGGAATTCCCAGTTGGGGTTTCCAGGGTCGAGGTTCATCAAGGCCTCCTTCTCCTCCTTGAGCTCTGCCTGTCGCTGGCGACGCTCCTCCCGGTTCTTCTTGAGCCTCTCCACCTCCTTGACCACATTGCTGCGCCGGTTGTTGGCCGCGTTGTTCGCGCCGGCAGCGGCAGCCGCAGCGCCGACGCCAACGCCTCCTGCAGGACCAACGTTTTGGTTCTGGTTCTGGATAGCTGACTCAATCAGACCTGTTCCTCCTCCTCCTCCTTTGGTTGAACGCCCTGAGTTAAAAATTATTTTGCAAAAGAAAAAAAAAACATGCCAGTGTTATTAAAGCGAGAAGCAATAATTCTGTTACACAGTGGCCACCATAGGTGGAGGGGAAAGATTACAAAAGATTACTGAGGGACAAAAAAATGGCAGCAAAATTAGTTACTTTTAATTGGTTTCAAGAGAGGCTGAAATGCAACTAAAGTAAGTAGGTGATGCAAAAATGTTAGAATAAACCTAATTAGTTACAATGACTCAAAATATGTTATGGAATTGTATGGATGGACTCTACACAGGAACAATAGTACAAGCACGCGGTTCACATAAAGCTAATTTATAGGGTAAGAAATACAAATGCTACTTCATTACCTAGTAAAATTCAGTGTGCATCATGCAGTTGTTAGTGCGAATAGAGCCTACTCACTTAAAAGCTCAAACATTAATCAGGTGTAGCACCAGTCATTTAAAGCCTGCACTCCACACAAAAAGTGCACTTTACTCACACACTTCATCTGTGGCCCAATTAATCAATTACTTACTTACTAGTGGGAGGAGGCATGAGTGAATTTATAAGGAATTTAGTAAAACAGCTAGGCCTACATCAGGAGGTGCTGTCTAGCAAAAGAGGGAGGGGGAAGTGCCAACAAACTGTTGCTAGGGCAGATCCACTCACTTGGGCAACAATCAAGCTAAAATTGGGGCCACTGCCACTGACAAAAATTAGAACTGCTTGGCCTAATAATGACTGGAACTCCCGTGCCTTTCCAGAGTGGTGGCACGGAGCGACGGCCAAAATGACTGATGTTAGAACCCCAGCAGGTTAGTAGGAAGTAAGTTGGTTGGAGTGCCTCACCTGTACCTGTGGGGGCCCCTGAGGGGGCGGGGGCTAGTGGAGCGGCAGACATCTGCATAGTGTGGCGTGGCGCAGAGGGGTGGGTCGGAGTGGGAGCAACTGTCTCACTCACTCGGTGGTTGGGGACGGGGATGCCCGTGTCGCCGTGCCCATTCACTGCCGGCACGATGTTTGTTGGTCTGGATTGGTTTCTCGTGGATCTGTACGGTGCTGGAACCACAGACACTCAACTTGACATCTCAGAGCCACGCCACACTATGCTAACAATTCAAGCCTGGTGCATAACTTTTTGAATGAAATAATTTATGAAGAATAAAAATTTTCTGGGCACTCTTTTAGTACTTAACAAGTGCTCGGTGTTGTGTGGAATAAATCTATTTTAAAAGAAAACTATTTTGAGAACAAATAATTATTCGCTCATACTAAGTGACTTGTAAATTTTATAAAATAATGCTTTACTAGAATCAGACTTTTTTTAACAACAGACGTGCGTGACACAGTGTGGAGTGATACCGATTAAGTCAAGGGGGAGGAGAAAAACAACAGTAATCAAGAATCAAGTGAGAGTTTGGACCTGGGGGGCTGGGGCTGTCGTCGGCGACGCGGCTGGCTTTGAACGCGAACAAGAGGGACAAGCACATTGCTCGGACCGGGCGCTAGACGCGGAGTGCGCGGTGCTGCCCCCGGTTGGCGGCACACTGCAGGCGAGCCGTGCCGGCCGTGCCGGGGCAGCCCCTGGAGGGTACCTGCCCGCCAGCAGCACCGAGCGCCAGCCACTCCCCTTTGATGGCACCCCCACCACACGGAAGCCCGGCCCAGCCCAGCCTGAATGCCCTCAAGTCCAAAGTCCCGGCGGGGGGGCCGATAAATCAGCAGCGAACGCGACACTCCGCGCTCCGCTTCCGGAACCGCCGACAATATTCCTCCGGCGACACGCGCTGCGCAGCGGAGCGCTCGTCTCCCACGTTTCTTCCGGAAAAGAAGCCTGGAACCTAACGGCGTTGAAAATGCATTTTCCCCCCCTGGGCCGGTTTTTGACTGCAAGCCATTGACACCCTCGCCCACCCCTCCACCCACACGGCGCGAACTATGATGGAGGCATCGATTGCCAGTCCAAAGGGGCGCCGTGCCGTTACCGTCCACAGCCAGGGCGGCGCGTCGCGCTTCCGCTTCCGCGTCCACCATTTTAGCCCGCGAACGAGAGCGGCCGGTGGCGGCCAAATGACCGGGGCCCGCCAATGCGCTTGTCCCCTTCCGGGTCGCCGCGTCGCCGCCAGCACCGATAACGCGACCGGGCGGATTCCGCTTTAACCTGCCCAAAGTTCGCTCATCAAACAGTTCTAAATTACTTTATTTCTAGCCTTCACATCGATATAAACATTTATATAAAACGGGAACAATCTATACAATAATCTTCTCGACAGGGACTTGATCGACTACTTGTAAACACAACACGTGCCTAGAGAGAGGGGTGCACGCTAAAATGCAGCTCGGCAAAAAACCAGTAAAACAAGTGGAAAAGGGCGGCGGCGGCCAGGCAGCTGGAGTAGGCCTCCCGCCTTGTCATCCGAGGCGACGACCCCGCCAGAGCCACTGGAGGGGCTGGCGAGGCGGGCGCAGCGGATGGCAAGCCCTCGGGGTCCACGCCGTCCACGCCGTCGGAAGGGGTGGCCTCGGCCTCGGGGGAGGGCCTCTCCGGACGACGCGGAGGGGCGGGGGCGAGTTCGGGGCGCGGGGGCCGCGGCCGGGTGCGGGCCTTGCGGGCCGGGGCCGCCGGGGCGCAGCCCTTCACGTTACCTTTACTCGACGCCACAGACATGGTCGGGTTGTTGGCTCTCGTGGCCTGCAACACAGCAAGAGCACCAATAGAGGACACGACACAACACACACTGGGTTAAAAAAAAACTTTTATCGATTTCACTGACATTTGAGCGTTATGAAACAAGCGTTTGCATAATGACAGAAAAATCGTCGATACCTTGTTAAATTGAGTTATTTAGGTCAAGCTTATATGTTTCCCCTAACATTTTTCACACTTGTCTGACACTTTATTTTTTCCCGACTTTTCCTGGCTTTCCAGGCTTTCAAGATTTGCATAATCCCTGCACGGGTCGTGGGGCAGGGGGGTGCCGACCGACTAGACACCTGACGGGGGGAGTCGGCGGACTGGCGGCCTCGCGGCGGGGGCTGGGGGTTCTCCTGCAGGCTCAGGGGGCTGGGGCTGGGTCCCACCGCGGGGGCCGCAGGTCCCATGGGCCGGGGGATGCAGGAGCAGGGGGGCTGGTCGGGGCGGGGTCGGGGCGCGAACCGGGGCGCCTGTGGGACGCCTCGGACAGTCTTGGACAAGGTTAACATTCGTATTCTCCACTCCACAAAATCAACGATTCATAAAAATAAATCTTGAATTGAAATTTCAGTTCCTACTACTACCGCATCTGCGATACGTACTCTGGTTACTTTCTTGTTGTTGTTTATGGCCGGTTCATCCTGGTTGGTAGTCAACAGGTCTGCGTTCAGGTTCAGGATGGCTTCCATTTCGATCTGCAACAGGGAAAACTCACATATGTCGTACAACGTCTCTCAAAGCGTCGTTTTGAACACGAAGCAGTTCACAATTTCAAAAGGATTTGACAAAGATTTGTTTTTAAAGAACAGACTCTGTTACTCGTACCTCTTTTCCTTTCGTTTCTCCCCTCTCGAACCATTCCACGGTGACACTTCTCGTCTCCCAGTTGACACCGGACACGACAGCGGAGTGGATCCGGCCTGGAAAGAAAGAGACACAAGATTAGCGACATTTTCGAAGGAAACAAACAAAACAGAACAAACCAACCATAACATGAAAATCCCCATCCAAAAACAAAATGAAGCTCTGCCGCGACGTGAGCTGCTCCCACACACCTCGGCGGGGCCGGGCGGGGCGTTGGTGCTCGCGTCTTACGGTTCTCGCGGAACAATTTTCACTTGACAGACGGGCGGGCGGACAGACGGGCGGATCGGCAGTGGGACGGAGGGACCTACTCGACAGGAGGCGCGGGAATGGCGGAGTCGTGTCGGAGCGCAGTGCGGCAGCCGATTCGAGTAAAGAGGCGGGGCTGCACACTGAGAGTCGTCGCTCTGTCTCTCTCGCACCTGGACGGAACGCCCCACGAGTGCGAGAGAGACAGAGCGACGAAAACGACTCTCGGAATCAGTCTCCAGGCGGGCCCGACGGGGCGGCGCGGGGCGGCGGCATTCCCTCCACTCTCTCCACTTTTTAAAAAACGCCGCCGCCGTGCCGCCACGTCGCCACCGCGGCCCGGACGTGGCGAACAGCACCCTAGCCTGCCGCGCCTGCCGCGGATGGAGAGGCTGCAGACACACTGCACGACCTCCAACGACGCGTCGCCATTTCACTCTTTGCTCAAGCGGCGCCAATTCACATCATTTTTTTGGTCCGCCGTCGCGCTTTTTTTTTAACAGTGGAATAGCTGCGCACGCATTCGCCTGCATCGCAAATGAGTCCAGTCGAAGCTCGAGTCGAAGCCAGTCGGCGATCTGATCAAACGGGGCATCCCGTGCAACCCGAGCAAAAGCGGCGAGGAGCGGAGCGAGCCCGTCGCGCCGTGTCAACCCACTTGAAGGAGGCAGAAGGATGCGACCGGGGAGTGGGAGGGGGACGCGTGCAGTAGGCCGGCAGGGGATGGGCATCACGTATTTTCGGACACGGCTGGCGCATCGCCTGCATGGCAAAGCAGTGCGAAGCTCGATGAAGCCAGACGGCATACCGATCAAACGGGGCATCACGTGCCAGCAGGCGGCGAGATGCCGGGCGGCGCCGTCGGCCGGCACCCTCTTAAACAGACTGGATAGCTTCGGGACGGACGTCACGCGGTAGGGCGAGGTGCAGCCATCGGATCACGAACGGACCGGCTAACTCGGCAACAACGAAGCAACGGATCGACTCCCAACGGGGTCACCGAAGGGTAGGCCAGGAGAGCGCAACTGCCCGCCCGCGCCGGGAAGCCGGGGCCTCAAGCGTTACTTCGCACGGACGGCTGCACGCCGAGCGTGCGCCTACCCACGAGCGCCGGCTACCTGCGGCAAGCCACGGCGATCCCGAACGAGCCAATGTGACTGGGCCGGACGCTCAAACGCTGCCTCAGCCCCTGCAGAAGCCGGTAGCACCCGTGCACACAGCGTGTCGCTGCACGATTGCCTACCCACAGGCGGGAGCTCCTTGCGCCGCCTGCAGGAGGCCCCGGCTAGGCAGTCCCGTTGAACAGCGCTGTCGCTGCGATTGCCTACCCACAAGGCGCCTTAGCCCCTGCAGAGGCCCGGTAGGCAGTCCCGTTGAACAGCGCTGTCGCTGGGACTGCCTACCGGCACGGGGTTCGCCGCCACCAACAGCAAACATGCTCGAGTCGGCGCGAGGATTCGAACCCGCGGACGACACGACACCACTCACCATCGCCACTACCGGCACAGCACAGGGCGATGGGCCCGATGGGGTCCGTGCCGGCGTCCACGGGGGTGGCGCGGCTGGCGGCGGGGCGCGCGGCCACCGGGTCGGGTTTGGCCGGCTTGGACGCAGCATCCGCGGCGGGGGCGGCCGGGGGAAGTTCGACGGCGGGCACGCCCTCCAGCGCCTTGTGCGCGCCGCGGCGCCGCGTGCACAGCTTGGACAACCACCCCATGGCCGCCGGAGGAGCACAAGCAGGGCGACCGCGAGCACCGCCGACAACGCGAGCGCGACGCCGCCAACGTGCACACAAGACTGCGCCAAGGACCGGCAGAGCCGAGGCACGCCACGACCGGGCCTGGCAGCCCAGGCGGTTGCACCGAGCACTGGCGTGGCGGAGCGGAGCGCCGAGCGCGGCCGCCGTACCGCACCGTACCGCGCTCACAGTCAGTCCCAGTCCCGTACCCGTCCCCGCGTCGCCACGCCGCGCCGCCCCGCGCCCCGCCCGCCTCCGAGCGGAAGGGAGCCGTCAGCGGGAAGGACGAGGACGAGGGGAGGCAAGGCAGGTCAGGGTGGGAAGGAAGGGGCAGGAAGCGTGCCGTGGCGCCGTGGTCGCGCGACACCGCCCGGCCGAGCCCGGCCGAGCATGAACGGATCAGCCACGTACAAATAAGGCCGGCGATGACATCCGAGCCCCGCGGCGACAAGCCTTGCCTCCCAACACGGGCAGAATTTCAGCCGCCAGGGAAGCTTCGTCCAGACTCGACTCGGCCTATGCAGACTGATTCCGAGAGCTTCTCTGTTTCTCTCGCACTCATGGGGCGTCCTGAAGGGTGCGAGAGAGACAGAGCGACGAAAACGACTCTCGGAATCAGTCTGCTGCCTCGGCTTGGCTGCAAACCGCGGCACCGCGGTGCGCAGTGCGTGCGGCGAGCGGACGCGGCGAGCGGACGCGGCCCGGCAGCGAGGCTAGCGCCACGCCGAGCACGCCCACGAAGCCACACCAATCCAATGGGACGGGACGCGACGGCCGGACGGGTCGCTCGCTCGGGCCGAACACCTCTGCAGTCCGGACGACAGCGCGAGAAAAACGGAGGGAAAACCACGCCGCACTCACTACGGCAATTTAATGCGAGGGGAAAAAACACTGCCGCGTCGGGATAAAAATTACCTTTCGGATTGCTCGGGAGGGAAAGATAGTCGGTTTGATCTCTGCTTGGAAGGCAGGCGAAAATACCGAACGGCTTTCGTCGCGAATCCCCTAAAAACGAAGCACGACCCGCTGCGGCGCTCTTCCGCGATACAGCCACGCGGACTGATTCCGAGAGTCGTCGCTCTGTCTCTCTCGCACTCATGGGGCGTGTCCTGTGGGTGCGAGAGAGACAGAGCGACGACTCTCGGAATCAGTCCGCCGTCAAGTCGGCGTCGTAACAACGGGCGCGCGGATAACGGCGCGGCCGAGAAAGATGGACAAAGAAAGACAACAACGTGACGATAACCAAATAAAAACAACAACAGGAGGAGCGGCGGGCGGGCGGCGCCGCGGTGGGCGAAGCAGAGGCGACGCCATCGGCGAGAAAAAGGCGACGCGCGAAGCCCCTTTTGTCGCGTCCCTTGTCCACCGCGTGGCGCCGCGTCGCGCGAACTCGCCGACCGCGGGGCGTAGCCGCGCTGGTCGCGCTGGCCGCGACGCCACGCGTCGAAGCGTGACGCCGTGGACCAGGCCGCCAAGCGTGGCCGACCGACTGGCCGGCCAGCCCAGCCGAACCATTCCGAAAAGTCCTTTACTTCTCTGTCGCACTCGCGGGGCTCTCCCTAAGGGAGCGAGAGAGACAGCTGAGCGGCAAGGCGCTGTCCCGAATGGCACAGCAAGGGGCGTCGCCGGGGCCCGGCCGGACGCACCGCGGGCCTGAGGCGTAGCCAGGGGCGTAGCTCAGGAATCCGCGTCGCCGCCACGACGTCCGCGTCCGTCCCCGTGGTCGCCAAGGTGCCCGCCGACAAGGTGGCCCAAACAATGCCGCGCGTCGCGTCACCGACACTATTTCGGCGCGCGGTGTGCAGCGGCCGCCTGCCTGTCCGTCCGACTGTCTGTCCGTCCGTCGACGACGCCACCAATAAGGAAGACGGACTCGACGAAGCCAGCCAGACGTGAAAACACCTAATTGCCATGAGCCTGCAGTTAGGGGGGAAAGGGAGGGGGGAGGGGGCACAGCAATCAATCCCAAATGGGCTAGTGTGCCGGCCCGGCCGCCTCACGTACACACAGCGAACACACACAGCAACACGCTCGCGCACGTTACACGCACACAGCCTGTCATGCAATGCCCACCCCTTTCCACACTGCACCTCGGCGGAATTTCGCGCCCCTCGATCGATCGGGCCGAAGAATGAACGAATGGATGAATGACAGAGGGAAGAATCCAGAGAACAGAATGAACCATTCGATCGATGACGACTGCCCGCATCAATCCGCCAAATTGACAGCGGAGCGCTCGGCCGTGCCCTGCCACCAAGTCTCCGGCGACAGCAACAGCGAGAGAGCGAGCGAGAGAAAGAGACAGACGGAGCGAGCCAGTCCCCAGCGCCGGGAGTAGCGGCGGGGCGCGGGGCAGGTCGGCCAGGCCCAGGCCTCGGCCCAGGCACCAGGCGAGCGCCCGCCGAGTCCGGGGTAGGCAACCCGGCGGACAGCGCGGCGGAGCGGGCGGCCCGCCTCGGCGATACCCCGCGACGCAAACCAGAAAGAGAGACAGTGGCGGAGTCTCCGCGCAGACACAGCCAGGAAGGTCCTCAGCAGCGATACTCCCGGCCCGAGGGACTCGCGGGGCACATCCTGCCTCGCCGCGTGGGCCGCGGGCCTCCAGGCCGCGGGCCTCCAGGCCGGGGGAAGGGGAGGGGAGGGGAGGGGGAGGCTAGCCAGGCGGAGCCGCGGCGCAGCCAGCCATCCTCCACAACGCTCGCCGCCGCGAGGAAGATCATGGCGAGCGCAGCACCGCGCAGCACCCAGCGCCACGGCGGCCACCGCCACCAGCAAGTGCGGCAGGGCGACGAGAAAGCGCGCCAGATGTCGCCCAGAAGCCCTGCCGCCCAGTGCATAGACTCATTCAGAGAGTCGTTCGCGTCGCTCTGTCTCCCTCGCACTCATGGAGCGCCTCGTACAGGCGAGAGACAAAGCGACGAAAACGACTCTCGGAATCAGTCTGCTGGGCAAGGCGGTGCAGGGCCGCCGCCCCGCTGCGCGCTTTGCGCTTTGAACCGCCGACGCGACGAGTCGAGCACGCCGCGCGGCCAGAGCCGTGCCGCGCCACGGCACCGCGGGCCGAGCCGA